GGCGCCAAGGCGGCCGAGGGCGGGGAGCGGCTGAAGGAGAGGAGGGGCGAGTCCTGCAGCTTCATGGACGACACCTCCAGCTTCTCCTGGCGCCGCCACTTGGCCCGTCGGTTCTGGAACCACACCTGCGGGGGAAGCACAGCGGCCGTCGGGCTGCGGCGAGGCTGGGGCTGCGTCCGGGCCCCTGCGCCAGGGCAGCCGGGCAGCCTGACTGCCCCACCGACATACAACCCGGCCGCACTCTACCGAGGCGCGAGAGGGGCTCGGACTTTGCTTTCTTTCACTCCCTCCGGCTCCCCTCGTCTCAGTCTTTCCTTCCACCCCGTTTCTTTTCTTATCTGCTGCCTCCCTTTTGTCCTCCCTCCTTTCTTGCCTGCCTCAGTCTCTTTGTCCCCTCTCTCAGAGGCTTCCCACCCTCTCCCCTGTTTCTCTCACCCTGGACAGCTGTTAGGTCTCCACCTCCTGACAGGAGCAAGTGCTCAGGAAAAAAGTGAATTTAGCTCCGCAGTCAGCCCACAGGACCTTGAAACAAGCTGACACTTCAGCCTTTGATTCCTTTCTCCGTGGCATAGGTCTCAGTTGCTGTATTTTGGTCTTGGACTATCTGTGTGGTATCTACGCCTTTTCCTCTGTCACAGACATACATATAAATACTGGCAACCTCAGACGTTAAAATACAGCTATTTCCAGGGATCACTGGTATTAATGCTAGGTAGAAACACGTGGGCTTATTTTACCCAAACATATTTCAGCTGCTGCTTTAGTAAGTTGTTTGTCTTGCCTATAAGTTACTTTCAAAGATTACCATCCTTAGGGGCTGTTGTATTTATTTTTATTTGTGGAGTTAGTTTTGACACTATCCTCTTGACATGAGTCCTTGCCAAGACTTTACTGGTGTCTTCCAATGAATCTTCCACTACTGACTTGATAAAAGTGCAGAAGGGGTGTAAGAAATGTTTCACCACCAAGTTGTACTCTTACAAGCAGGACGGAAAGAGTTGGCTTCGGTTAGTTGAGAACATGAAAGAATTTTGGCAAATCTAGTGGCTTCCATGTTATATGAAGGGCAGGGTGGGGGGAGTTGCCATCCCAGAAGGGAGAAATTAGTTTTGCCAGTGAGGGAAATGGGGGCAACCCTGTAGGGTGAATGAGAAACAGTAACTCAGCACCTGAGCAGAGCAACACAGGTGTGTGTGAGGCCCCAATTTGGGAGAAAACAAAAAACGTAACTGCTCCTGCCCCTCTCCCACAAAAATGCTGTCAGCATAGCCAAGACCCCAAACCACAGCAACAGCTTTGGGTGTGCTGATGATAGAAAAGAAAGAAAAAGAAGACTTGGGTGTGGGCTCCCATCCCTAGGGCAGCCCTGCCTTCCCTCTCCATCCCCAGCCTCCTCTGCTCTGGCCCTCATGTCCAGTAGCCAAGTTCTCAGGGCTGCAGCTGGAGACAGTTGGCTGCTGGACCGCTGTCCTGCTGCCCGGCTGCCCTGGTGGAAGGCACCCCACCTAGTCCTCCCACAGCATGATACTCATGCTTTAAGAACAGCTGCGTGCTGGGCACCCCCGCGGTCACTGAGCAGCCACAGGCACTGTTCTCAAGAATTTCACGATTTAGAGGCAAAGCCAAACCCCTGAGCATGAAGGAAGGTGGGCCAGGTAGGAAGGGGGCCTGCATCCTGTAGGCCACTGCAAGTCCCTGCCCTGCCTCTTTCTTCATCTTTCTCTTGTATGTTCCCCTCTTCCTCTCCATCCTCCTTTCCCTAGAAAGCAGATGTTAAAGTTCCCCCTCCTTCAATGAAATCATTTGTCACTTTACTGCTTCAAATTTGGAGCCATGAACTGTCCTTGCTAGGTAATCTCAAGTCACATCAGGGAACTATTTTTTAAAACCATGACTTTTACTCATCGCTTTCAACCCTTACCCTAGGCAGAAGAGACAAAAGACAAGAGCTTGCCCCATTTTCCTTTCAGTCACAGCTAAATGTGCCCAAACACCTGAGTGTCCCGACTTCCTGGAAACCTCATTTATTAGACGCACACAAAAGTCCCATTTGAGTTTCACTGCCTTTCAGATGCACTGAAATGTGTTCCCAGTGTCTCCCCTGTAAACTCGCCCAATTTGGAAATCCTCCCAGATTTTTCACAGATGACTAGCAAATATTTAAGGCTTTCAAATATTTTAATGATCAGGGATTAAAGATAATTCAGCTTTAATTAAAGTGAAAACCCCTTTACAATAAAAAGAAAAGGCCTCTGCACCGCGAAATTTGGTTGGACAGAAACCAGGGAAAGAAAAGTTAGTTTCTTAACTAAATCCACGAAGAGTTTTCAATTGCGAGGGACCGAGCCCCTGGCCTTAGACTGGGCTTTGGTTTTCAGCAGTGTTCGGAGCTAGTGATTCGGGTGGCGGTCTGGGTCCCCAATCCAGTGACCCTCCAGCCACTGCCTAAATGCCCTTTCCGCTCTGCACCCCCTTCGAGGACTGGATCATACTATAAACTTCGACTAGACTCTCCGAAGGGTGGTGAGTGGGGAAGGTCTGTGACGCTCCGATGGGGTTGTGCTTATGCCAAACCCAGGAAGCACCAGAGTGAATTCAAGGACGCCCGCGAATTCAGAGGAGCGCTGACTGTTTTAGGCCTCGGGCACTCTCCAGTTCCCTTCCCTCCAGCCGGGCGCTTTACCTGCACCCGGACCTCGGGTAGGTTGACTTTGCCGGCCAGCTCCTCGCGGCTGTACACGTCGGGTTAGTGGGACTTCTCGAACGCGCGCTCCAGCTCGTGCAGCTGGTACGTGGTGAAAGTCGTGCGGTTCCTCCGGTGCTTCTTCTTGGGCTGTTCCTCCTCCGACAGCTTAGCGTCGCCGGCAGCTGGCCCGACAGGGGCTGGCCCAACGGGGAGCCCTGGGCTAGGACGTGCCTCTCCGGGATCCTTGGGGCAATAGGGGCGAGAGGCTGGGGCGACGAGGCCCCACGGTGTCAGAGGTACGGGCCTACTCTGACGCCCTACAGTCCCTGGCCAGCTCCCTTGAGGCTAAAGCTGGCCTTGGGAAGTCAGGGATGGAAGCAGCAAGGTAGCCCCAAGCTTTCTCTGAACTTAAGTTGGGAGCTCCCGCCACAGATGGTATCCCCAAACCCTTTGCCCAGTTGCCTTAGTAAAGGTTAAAGAGGGAAGCTCTCCACTTGCAGGACGCTCCTAGGGCCTTACAGCAGAGGGAAGCGCGCACTCACCTTCGTACTCCGGGACCGGCGCTGGGGCTGGCAGGGGCGAGGGCCCCTCGCTTCCCCCGGGGGCCTTGGGGCAGGCGGGCCGCGCGCCCAGCCTTCTCTCCCTGTCCTTCGCACCCCTGGCGCCCCGCTCCACCGGGAAGGTGCCAAGGATCGCGTCGTCTTTAGTAAACCCCAGGATGGCCTCGATACTGTGCAGCCGCGAGGTGCTCCCACCCGGGCTGCGGAGCAAGTGGCCGGCGAGCGAGAAGCTCCCCTCGGCCATGGCAGGTGCGCAGCCGGGCAGGTGCATGGGGAACGCCAGGAGGTGGGCGGGCGCTTTGATCTAGAAGAGGCTCGAAGCCGGCTCTTTGCAAGTGTACGTCAAGGTAGTCGCACTTCTTGAAAATGCGCAACCAGGCAGGTTCTACCCAAGGTCAAGCTCCGCGGCAACCCCACCAGGCTGCGCGGGCTGGAGGTGGGCGAACGCTCGGCCCACGCCACTCGGTCGCTGCAGGAGGTGTAAGTTCGGCGGAGGAGCTGCGGCTCGGGCGCTAGGGCTCGGAGCCCTCGGGTACAGGGCCCCTCCTCTCTCAACCCGGACCCATTCCCTTTTCTAGGCTCCTCCCCACGCAGAGGGGCGGGTCTTTCTCCCGCCAGCCTGGGGTCCTAGCCCAGCCACCCCGAGGCCGGCACTGGGGACATACCACCTCCCACCTCTCGATCCGTTTTAAACCCAACCCCAGCTCACTTCCCCGCTCCCGCTCACCTAGGCTTGCCCGGCGCCCCTTGGAAGCGTGCAGACCCAGCCAGGCTTCCCAGCTGCTTCCCAGCTTCCCAGTTGGAAGTCAGCCCACGCTCCTCCCAGTTTGGACTTCCCGCTCCCTTCCCCTCTTTCTCACCCCCACCGGGACTCCTCTGTGGTCTCCCTGGCCGAAGTCCTAGACATCGGGGTTCTTTTTGCCTGTCTAAATCTGTTTTAACTTCTCCCTGTACCCTCGGACTTGTGCGCAGCAGCCTGCTTCAGTCCAGCGCGACCCTTCGGAGGCGGTGGGGCCATCTGTGCCCTCGGGTCTAAGTGACCTCAAGTGCTGGCGGTGACACGCTGCGGGGCTCAGGCCCTGCCTCCCACGGACTGCCCTGCAGGAAGCGCAGGGTCCGTCACAGGTGTGGAGGACGTCTCCTACCCCCTCCCCCAACACCTCCCCAGGCCAAGGAGATGACCCAAAGCTGACGGGAAGACCTTCTCTAGGCAGAAGCCTCACACTTCCCCCTGGTTACCGCCTAATCCGCTTGCGTTTCTCCCCCCAAGGGGGAGAGAAGCCTTGAGGCTTCTGTGACCCAGAGGACTCAAAGGCTGAGCAGAAAGATGATTTGCGAGGGCAAGTGCGTTTTTCACGTCCTGTGGTGCTGATGGACCAAGGCACTGTGACCGCCGCACCCCTCAAATCCGAGGCCAAGATCCGAAGAGAGCGCCGGGCCTCCTGTGAACTGTGAGCTGGAAATGTGAATTAAAACGCTTTCTGTTAGAAGCCCGAGGACGTGAAGAACCACAGTCCCAAATGCTGTTGATAGGCGCTCCGATCTCCACTAAAGAGGCCTCTTCTTTATCCCTCCTTTTTGTTTCTTCCTGTCTACATCCAGCCTAGGGTTACCCCCTCCCTTCTGTTTGCTCAGCCTTTTGCTGGGAGAGGTCGTGGGCAGCGTACAATTAAGGAAAGACCAGTGAGTTGGCCTTGAGGAGTTGAACGTCCAGTCTGTGAGACATGACAAAGGAATAAACAGAGGGAAAACACATCTCCTTGGATATGGGGGCTAGAGGGTAGTTCATTACACTAATAGCTCTTTTTAAAGAAAATTATTAAAAGGAAAATTGAAACTGCAAACATGAGTGTGCAGTGAGTCGAAATTGAGTCACTCAGGTCAAAATATTTAACTTGAAGCAAAAGCTAAGTTAATGCAGATTAATCACCTGTATGGTTTTCAGAACACTTTACCCTCCGATCCTCACAGCTTTGTGAGGTGAGCATGGATCTGTTAGTTTCTGGCTAGAAGAAAAAACTGAGGCTCAAAGTATAACCGTTAGGAAGTGAAGGAGCCAGGACCAGAACTCAGACCAGCTGTCTCCTTGTCCAGTGCTCTCTGGCTGCAGCTCAGGAGTAACTGCTATTGTAGAGTGTGATATTTTTGAAGAGTCAGCGCACATCTCAGCCTGAAGTCCCTGGAAGTCTTCCCCAGGGGCCCCGGCATTCTCCATCTAAGAGGTGGCTGCACTGCAGCTGTCCCTTGGGGGCACTCTGGAGAGTGGCCTGGGGCCTGCTGTCAGAAGAGGCTTGCAAGCCCTGAGGGGCGCCCCCAAAGACCAAAAGAAACCTGCCTTTCTGGGCTGCCCAGGTGCTGTCCAGGGCACTGCCCCTGCAAATGGCCTGGGGGCATCCTGGGAAGACTTTAATGCCACTTGCATGGACCCCAGTTGGAGGAGCTGAGGTGACCAGAGGCAGCTGGGGGGATGATGCATTGCTACTTGTTGTTTCCTGTTTCCTCTCTGAGAATGCTTTTTATGTAAACTTCCCCGGTATTAAATTGATCTCTATAATCTTCCCTAGAAGAAGATCGGCAGCATTTTCCTAAGCTCTTGCCTGCACAATGCTAAGGAGTTTATGGCCTTGTTTTCCAAAGTTAATTCCCTCTGGGACTGCCTGACTCTCTCCCTAATAGGTCCAGGTGAGGTGAACTTTTATTTACTGTTTATTTCAGGGTCTCGAGAGAAAAGCAGAAAAGACTCCCAACAGCCACTGAGGGCCAGCCAGGCAGAGGAGAACAGGGGGAGCTTTTGTGCAAGACATAAAGAGCCAGTCAATACCATTGTGGGCAAGGTGGAGGGTACTCCAAGCAATCAGCCGGGGGTCATTGTTAGGGGCTAATCTACGTGTGTATTTCCCAAGAACTCGATTAGGGGAGATGAATGGACTGGGCCATGTCCCTAATTCTTCGAGATCCAAGCTGCGTTTTTCCAGCAGTTACACCAATTCATAATCAACCCTGCTTCTGCAAAGTAGGGAGCCTGGCTTCTGAACTCCACCTCTGTTTAATTCATTAATTCATTAGATGGATCAAAGAAAACTCCCTCCCCGTAGCCCCGCCCCCCAGCTAACCTTCAACACAGAGCCCCATTAAACGTGGCACAGTTAGAGACACACATTTCCAGAAGTGCAGAAGTGCTATAGAGTGGTTCTGTTACTTTGGATGTAGGCAAGAAGTCCAATTTCTGGAAGTAATGTAGAGGGGCTGTTTACCCCACCATATTTTTAGGAGAGATGGACATCTGTAGGGAGATGCCAATGAATCAATGCCAACTGGCCATAATCTCTAGTAATGTTATCTCTTAGCAGTTTTATGTTTAGGTGAAAAATATCTTCTCAAGGGCCTATGGGATGTGACTTCATAGAATGTGTAAAACAACTTGATCATCTGCCTGAAGATTATCCCTTTAGTAGGTGGGTTTTAGTCCAGGAACATCCATTCCTGTGTCATATCACACTCGAGAACCACTTCCTATTACTATCTGATACGTGCTCAGGGAAGATAGCTTAAGTTTAGTTTTAGGTAAAGCAAAACACAATTTGTACAATCTATCTATATCTATATATCTTAATTCATAAAATATATATGTACATACTAAAATTTAATAGATTTAACTGAAGAGTTAAATACATGATAAGAGCTATGATTTATTGCATACTAGCAGTTGTATGCCATCTCTTTTGAGTTCTTTACATGGATTATCTAATTTAGTCCTTACAATAATGCTGTGAGATAAGCACTATTATTACCCACTTTCCTGATGAGGAAACAGAGGCACAGACAGGGTAAGTCACTTGTCCAAGGTCACACAGCTGATTTCAATTGGTACTAGGACTTGACCTGGGGATTTTATTCATCTCTGTAATGATCTAGCCACCATATGCACCACTTGCCAATGTGGTATGTGTACATATATGTGCCTGTTAGTTTTCCAGTGGCTGTAAGAGAACTAGCAGATAAGGAAAACTTGAGACTCAAGGAATATGGGAATAATATAGTTCAGAGTAATGTGGGAGTGAGGAAGGTATGATGAATAGTCTATAATGTATTGTCAGTCGAACTGATGACAGACATACTGAAAAGTAATAAGTTAAGGGTACCATTCAACTGTCCAAGAGCATCTTACGAAGTTTAGGGAATTCTCTCTGTCCCCAGAGTTCCAAATCACTTGCAGTGGTTCATGACCGTATACACTAAGCATCTAAATTATGTTTTAAGTATTTGCTTCTGATGCTATGAATTCTCCCCTGTATAGGTTGATTGTCCCTTATCTGAAATACATACTTGAAACAAGAAATGTTTTAGATTTTGGATTTTGTTTTCTGCCTTTTAGAATATTTGTGTGTAGCTAATGAGCTATTCTGGGGAAGCGGGCCGAAGTCTAAACATGAAATTCATTTGTATTTCATATACATCTTACATATAGTCCTGAAGTTATTTTAATGCAGTAGTTTAAATGAGCCTGCATTTTGACTGCACCTTGTCACATGAAGTCAGGTGTGGCATTTTTAACTTGTAGCATCATGTTGTCACTCAAAGTTTCAGATTTGCAGCGCTTGAGATTTCAGATTTTTGGACCAAGGGTGCTCCACTTGTATTGTACATTCTGTGTCATGGACATACAATAAAGTTGCTAACAATAGTTTCAAATAATTCAGTAGTTTAAATTCTCTTTTTATTTTTTATTTTTATTTTATTTTATTTTATTTTTTTGGTTTTTCTCCGGTACCAGGAACTGAACTCACGACCTTGCGCTTGCCAGGCAGGCGCTTTTGCCGCTGAGCTAAATCCCCAGCCCCTCTCTTTTTAATACTGACAAATTGAGTTCAAAGATGAAATACACTCTTGTTTGTTTATCTTTCACTAGAAAACCTTCCTAATGGATGAAATGTTTTGTGCTTGAAGCACTAGCGAAGATACATATTAAAAGTTCTTAGAGGTGCTTATCAGAAACTCCATTTTTTATGCATAGGCAACTAATAACGAATATTCTTGGCTGCTTTCATAAACATATGACCTTGGCACAGATGATAAACAAGCTTCCTATAACCCGGCTTACTATTCAACATGACAGAACATTCCCTAGTATTTTCAAACTAAGTTGAATTAAATGTTGGTATAAGCATATTGTAGGGAAAAGCCCAACCACATAATTATTTCACAGATACCATCAGTTAATGATTGGTGACTATCTTGTGCTATTCTCTCTTGTTTAGCCCCTAACTTTCTTTTGTAGGAGAAGAGATGTGGACACAGAGAAATTAAGTGATTTGCGAAGATGAGACAGAAAACTTGTGGTCAGGCTTTGACGGAATTCCTGGGAGGCCTCTCTGGCTTCGCGGCACCTTGTTCCCTCCTTGGACTCCCAGACTCTCACACTCACATGTCCCATGCTCCTCCTTAGGGCGGGTCTGTGCATGAGTCCCAGAAGACTCTGTCTGTTGTGCAAACACAATGAAGATATTCTTCACGCTACTTCCCCATCCTTTACCAACACAATTATTTTGGTCCTGAGCTTGCTTTCACAACTGATGCAAGTCCAAGTAGCCTCTGTGTAATTAAAAAACATTCCTTGGCATAGATTTGCAGGGCATTTTGGCAAGCGATTTGTATTCCTTCC